AGGACAGTATAGATTATCTAACTGACGAATCCAACGGATTAGTGTCTTTTCCTGTGAGTCATCAAGGGTCTTGGTTGAGATAGGACGTGTATTTCGAGTAGCTCGGCCATGAATACGTGCTCTGAGTCGATAATAAGGAACGTCAAATTGACGCGCCAACGCAGAGACATTTGGTTTTTTTTGGCCTTGAGCAGCTGTACAGGCCTCTAGGATTCGTTTCTCAATATCAGAATAAGAATTAGGCATGGTGGTGGTAGATAAAATCTCTGAATAGCTTCAAATTTTGCGTTGAAGTGGGAATTTGCGTTGAGGTGAGGCAGACCAACACGCCGAATGGCGGGTGGGTCTGCTGATGTAAGAGACGGCTAATCATTTATTTATGACCATCATTAGTTCGCCCATTATGTAAGTCGGCTGCCTTTTCCAACCCCTCCAGAACCATTCTACACCGCTTTCCCATTCAAGAACCCTGCCCCCACGTTCATTCTTGTATGCATCACCTTTAGAGTATACACTCGTAGATCATGAACCTGGAGTATTGACAAGAGTACAATGGGTATTCTAACCTTTGAATAAAGGCTTGTGTTCGGTACTTATACCATTTACATGGAGTAACATGGCAAAGCCCATACTGTACTGTTGCATTCATAAGAGCTGGAACCAAGATACGGCGAACCACAGAAACATCAGTAGTTCATAGATTAATATATTTACATCACGTGACAATAAGCCCCACAGTCAGAGCAATAGATCACCAATCAAATATGAAGAAAAAGGAGGGTCAGCATGTCCCCAAGGTCCTCAAGAAGCCCGAAAATGTCTTCTCTGGAACAGATCCGCTTGCCTCCAAGGTCCTCGTCCACTGTGACCGCACGTCGACACAAGTGGGACATCGAAATCTCAGCGCCCTTCCACCATGGACACTTCCTCTGACATTCATCTTCCTCCTCCTAGGTCTACAGTACCTTCTAGGACTATCCTCACATCGGTTCCCGGGGAATAACGAACGAGTCACCGTTACGCCGAGATACGCATCCTTCTTCATCATACAGTGCGAGAGGTGACATACACTCTGGAGTCGTGCTAGGCATACATAAATCCCCACGCTACACTCCAAGGTCCTCACCTCGAGATCTGATCCCTGCCACCGCCACGTTTGGTTGGATACAAAAGACACTAAACATACGCCAAAAGTGGAGTGCAAGGACCTTGAGGACATTCAATCACAACAGTCGACACCTTGTTGCACAACAGGATTTGATATAAGGGGAGCGGGGCAGAAAAACCCATAAATTGGTCCGATATACCAAGAATACCAAGCATCGGCATCCTGCAGTCCAAGAAAACTTTCCACCCCTTGCGAGTGTTTCCCTACGTTTCCCACGTGGTTTCTATCTTTGCAAATTCCTTATTACCTCAAATTTGAGTTCTATTGGGCTGTCGTGCCTGCCAGAGAATTTCTTTGCGAACTATTGCTCTTGGCCCGTGCCGTCGTGCACCAGTTTTTTGGAAAGTCATCTGTCAATCTCTCCAATCGACGCAATCATCTAGGGAAGCGGGACCAACATGGATGTTCTACACACCCTTCTCACGCGGGATGAAGATTCTGGGCCCGCCCCTGCCTGTGATGCAGGCAACGAATACGACGGTCGCATGGGTTTGCGCATCTCCTCCATCTTTGTCATCATGGTCGGTTCGATGTTCGGTGCTGTCTTCCCGGTCTTTGCAGGACAGTTTCGACGTACGAAATATTTAGAGTGGGCTTTCTTCATTGCCAAGTACTTTGGCTCCGGTGTCATCATTGCTACGGCTTTCATTCATCTGTTAGCTCCTGCTGAGGAAGCCTTAACCAATGAATGCCTGACTGGCCCGATCACGGAGTATTCCTGGGTCGAGGGTATTATCCTAATGACCATCGTGGTGCTTTTTTTTGTCGAGATGATGGTCATGCGGTATGCTCGATTTGGCCAAAGCCATGCACATGAATTGGCACATGAACATGGCCATGTAGAGCCCAAGGCTACTGGCTCTGAGAGCGGTTCTGAGGTCTTGGACAGCAAGCATATTCCCGGCCGGGATCATCTGGGTCACTCTCGTGAACATCATGATGTTGAGAATGCTTCCCACGATACGTCCCTCGAAGAGTATATGGCGCAGCTGACTGGCGTTTTCATTCTGGAATTTGGTATCATCTTCCATTCTGTCTTTATCGGCCTGACCTTAGCAGTATCTGGTGCTGAGTTTGTTACGCTCTACATTGTCCTTGTCTTCCATCAGACTTTTGAAGGTCTTGGTCTGGGATCCCGACTGGCTACAATCCCCTGGCCTCGTTCGAAACGTCTTACCCCATATCTTTTGGGTATTATTTTCGGTCTGTCGACGCCAATCGCGATCGCGATCGGATTGGGTGTTCGCAAGTCGTACCCTCCCGAGGGTCGCACGACCCTCATCGTTAACGGAGTCTTCGATTCAATTTCCGCCGGTATCTTGATTTACACGGCGCTTGTGGAGCTTATGGCGCATGAGTTCATGTTCAGTAGCTCGATGAAAAAGGCGCCTATTCAGCACGTCCTGGCCGCCTTTTTCCTCCTATGCTTGGGTGCTTTGCTGATGGCGCTTCTTGGAAAATGGGCCTGATTTATGACTGTCTTTTTTTTTTATTTTGTCTTGTTATGTTGCTGTGTTGCTGTGCTCAATATACCCCCCATCGGCAGGTTGTTTAATTTTATTTCTAGATTGCATTATTGCTTCATTGCTCATACTGTGTATTCCAAGAAGAATAAAAACTTTGCTCATATATACAAACATTAGATAACTGTGGCATTCACAAAACCTCCAAAGACTACTCGACCTTGACAGATTAGTAAATAACGACCATCGTTAACATGCGGGAGTATGTGCTTTAGGCAACCTAAAAAAGACAGGCCCCCAAGCCCGGAGTTACGCCAAATCTAATCTCCGCATCAGGAACCCAACCAACCACGTTTCCTCACCCATCCTAGACCCTCCTTAAGCAACCCCCAAACACCACCAATCTCCAATTCAATTAACCCCATCACACAAAACGAGTTCTCAATCATCAAGCCCCTCCAAGTTTCAAAATGCGTTTCTCAATCTTCCCCACCCTCCTCGTCTCCCTCGCCTCCCTCTCCACCGCCGCCGAACTCGGCATCGAAAAGACCCACGAGGTAGAATGCACCCGTAAAACCGTCAAGGGCGACACCGTCCAGATGCACTACAAAGGCACGCTCCAGTCCGATGGCTCTGAGTTCGACTCTAGCTACAAGCGCAACTCGCCATTGAAGTTCAAGGTGGGCTCGGGTATGGTTATTAAGGGGTGAGTTTTCTCGTTTGGGCTTCTTCTTCTTCTTCTTATTGTGATGTACAATACCTGGGAATTAAGCTAATGCGTTTGTTTGTTGTAGATGGGACGAGGGTCTTTTGGATATGTGTATTGGTGAGAAGCGTACTTTGACTATTCCCCCTGAGTATGGGTATGGGTCTCGTGGGGTTGGGCCAATTCCTGGTGGTGCGACTCTCATTTTTGAGACGGAGTTGGTGGGTATTGATGGTGTTTCGAAGGATGAGCTGTAAATTAAGTCCTAGGTTTAGACTTTTCTTGAATTTTTATCTTTGATATGGGCTTTCTTTTTTAATACAGTGTCGCTTGGCACTGGCACTGGCACTGGTACTGGTACAGGGGAGTAGCGAAAAAATAACTTTGAAATTGATCTGTATATGTAAGTATGTAGATATCTGTATCTCTGGGTATCATGCGAAACCTCTAGTATAATACAATCTGTCGTCACCAAGTCTATAACGATCCAAGAGAAACCAGAGCAGAAAAAAGAAATATAAATCAGTCCATAGCATCGAGAGCATTCTCGGCCGCTCCGTCGTTCTCAGAAACGAGGATTCCCACAAGACACTCCCCCAGGATGGCATCCCAGTTCACCCATGGATGAATCTCCATGAACAACTTCGCCGAGTCCTTCCCGGCACCACGGAGCAATTCACCCTTCCCGCCAGGGTGGAATGGGACATATGGCGTGATGTTATAGACCTTGCCCTGGTACGAAGTCCAGGCATCGCGACCCTTCCGTCCATTCTGTGCCTTGAGCATCGACGGGGTCACCTTGACCAGAGTTGGGGGTAGATTTGCACCCCGCAAGTTGTTCTTGGGGTTTGATGTAAGCGCGGCCCAATCCAGGGGGGAGTAGCCTGGTTCGAGAACTGCCCGCTTCGATGAATTGGAGGGCTGTGCGGTGAGTTTGACGGGTGCCAGGCTATTACTGGTGGGACGACTGGAGGGCGGTACACGTAGCGATGCCGCTGCAGAGGGTGGCGGACGAAGGGAGCTGCCTGGATTTGGGCGCGGGGGATATCGTCCCGCGGGGGCGGATTGTGGTTGTTGGGTTTGGGACATTGTCGGACGGAGTCGAGGTGGCGGCGGGGGAGGCATCAAGGAGGAACTGCTTGCGGTGGGCCGTGGTGGAGGTAACATGGCGGCATTATTAACTACGATAGCGACCGGCTCTGAGGGTTTCGCTGATCCATTCTGGATTGGCTTTTGGTCGGCCTGGTTCTCGGTAGTGGTGGTTGTCTTGTCGACCTTGTCGCTGTCGAGACGCAGCGTGGGCACTTCGAGGGACGGTGGACTCGATGCAGATGCCTTGGGTGTTGACTGGGAGTCTTCTGCATTTCCGTCTTTTTCTTCGAGTGGTTTGGAGTCATCCTTCACTTTCGCATCATCTGTGGCGCGATCGGTAGGAGGCTCTTCAAGAGTTGGTTTCGGCGGGGGTTGAGAGATGGAGGGCTCAGGCGTCCAGCTGGATGGGGGGTGACGGTAAAGCAGGAAACATGCAGTCGCAATGAGTGTAGCCACTCCTAGCCAGCCCATTCTGGGCGGTCCGAAGGTTGTAGATGGTGAAAGCGAGAAGGGTGCCTGAAGATCGGAGACAACAAAAAATGACGACAGGAACACATTTCCAGATGCCCGGGGAAATCATGTGGCCCGTGCTTCGGACGATCAGAGTCCAAGTATAATTTAAGCTTAACCACCCAGACATTCGTAGATAACCTCGTCGTCTATACATGATGGAAATTATATAGAAGGTATATTGTCTGAAAAGAGTATTCAGCACCTAGTACTTATGCCTACGCTGTTGCTCAGTATAACTACATGATCATATAGCAGAGTCCCATAGCATGGACTCAGTCTATGGGAACGATGAGCGTATCCAACAGAGATCATAAAGTTCATTCATTTGCAGTATCTGGGTAATGACAGCCCCTGATCCATGCTACCGGGCTATTCAGACCTCGGTGTTCAAAGGAAACTCTACAAATTAGTGAAACTCCCTAACTCTCCTCTACACCTCCGTCTCCCCCCTCTTCTGCATGCTAGCGTACCCAGCAAATATCCTTCGCTGGCATATACCAAGTGACAGAACACGGTTGCTTGTGTCTCTATAACCTGCCTCGTACGTTGCGTACTGTATACTAGGCCGATATACGAGTCTATTTGGTAAAATATACGATAGAGACATATCTGCCTCTATCTGGCCAGCTAGGGCATGCTCTCTATACAATACTAAAGTCAGTATTACAACCAAAGCGAATAGACCTAATAAAGCAACACCTAAACATCTCAAATAAGTCCTCGAAAAAGCTTCATATTAGAGAAACGGCCAAGAAAGCTTCCTGAACAAGAACATCCAAACTTCACAGTATATACATCCAATCACATGACCGCGCGATAAGAGCGCGTCACACGCCGACCCCCCATGAAGTCCAAACTATCCCAACACGCCCAAATCATCCCCAAAACACATGGATTCAATACTCGATGGGTTGAATTCTGCACAGAGAGCCGCTGTGTCGTCGCCATCACCGATTCTCCAGGTTCTCGCCCCGCCCGGCTCAGGAAAGACCAAGACCTTAACGGCGCGCGTCGCGTACCTCCTCTCCCACCATGGCTATCGACCGCAAGATGTCATCTGCTGCACGTTCACAATCAAAGCGAGCCGGGAGATGCGGGGGCGTCTGTCAAAGCTGGTTGGGGATCGGGTGCAGTCGAGATTGATTCTGGGGACGTTTCACTCCATCTGTCGACGATATCTGGTGACGTATGGGTACTTAATTGGGCTACGGAAGGGGTTTGGAATCGCAGATTCCGGGGATAGTTTGGCTATTATCAGGGTATGTTCCCTAGAAATTGTGATTGTTTGGGGGTGTGGCTTGCTTACTTGGATGTCTGTTTGCGGTAGAGGATTGTCAAGCGGTTACAGCTCAATGTCCAGCCTAATATGGCTCGCGGGCGGATTTCGTATCAGAAGGCTCATGGGGTGACGCCGGGGGATTTGGAAGCGAAACAAATGAAGGGCTCCAAGGTGCTGGAGCACCGGGAGTTTGTTCAGGTTTACCAAGCGTATGAATCGCATCTAGCGGATTCAAATCTACTCGATTACGATGATCTACTTCTACGGTGCGCCCAGCTGCTTCGACAACATCCGCAGTGCGTTTCGAACGTCCAGTCAGTCCTAGTCGATGAGTTCCAAGACACAAATCATATCCAGTATGAGTTGATGAACCTTTTTGCATCACAGAATAGGCGGATTACAGTTGTCGGGGATCCGGATCAGAGTATATACGGGTTCCGATCGGCTGAGATTAAGAACTTGACGCGTATGCAGCAGCTGTATAGCGATACGTCGGTTGTGTTGTTAGAGGATAATTATCGGTCGTCGGGGTCCATTTTGAGCTCAGCTCAAGATGTTATCGAACAAGACTCGTCGCGGCCAGCTAAGAGGTTGCAGCCAACCCATAGTGTAGGGACGATGCCGGTACTGCGGAAATTGCCAACAGCGGAGGCCGAGGCTCAGTGGATCGTTCTCGAAATTAAAAGATGCATCGCCATGACGGGGAAGCTGCTGAAGTATTCCGACTTTGCGATACTGCTCAGGTCGGCCGCACTTTCGCGACAGATCGAATCGGAAATGGGAAAACAGGGCATGCCGTACAGGATGGTTGGAGGCTTACGCTTCTTCGATAGAGTAGAGATCAAACTACTTCTGGATTATCTGAGAGTTATCAGCCAGCCGGGAAACACCGATGCTCTTCTGCGAATTATCAATGTTCCGTCGAGGAAAATCGGGGAAGAATCGATTCGATCATTGATGAGTGGCGCGGAGAAAGCGAACAAGCCTCTCTGGGACTTCATGAAGGATGTGGCACAAGGTCGCAGGTCGACCGAAAAGACTTTGTCGAAGCCTACAAGTAATGGACTAGGTAATTTTGTCGGCCTCATTGAGTCGTCGAGACAGAAACTCCTCGAATGCACCGACTGTTCGGCTCCGAAGAAGCTTCTTGAGTTTGTGATCAAGAAGCTTTCCTTCCGAGAATACCTTACGTCGACGTACGGTACCAACGAGGAGAACAAATGGGCGAACGTGGAAGAGCTTCTGGGCCAAGCGGAAGATACGGCTGCTGCCGGGGAGGAAAGTGAGCATGACGAAAGCCTCCCGGAAATTCAAGGCCTCTCACAGCAGCAAGCTCATCCGGGAGAAGAGGCACTGTCGCGCTTTCTTGCCAATGTGGCGCTCTCCACTGAGGTTCTTCAGCAAGAGGGAGAGGAGGGTGAGCAATCACAGGAGAGAGTGACGATCTCCACTATCCATGCCGCAAAAGGCCTGGAATGGCCGGTTGTCTTCGTCCCGGCTGTGTATAACGGCATTATCCCACATTCGCGTGCAGAGGATTCGGACGAAGAGAGACGGCTGCTCTACGTGGCCATGACTAGAGCGCAGGCGCTGTTGTACCTGAGTTACCCCCTTGAGCAATCCCGCAGCGGTGAAACGACGAATGTATCAACATTCCTTCCGGAAAAAATCATAGAATCACGATTTCGTTTATTAGGGCCTAATCTGCATGAACACATCGTCTATGGAATCGCTGACATCTTACGGCGGCCGAGACCGACTTCCGAGGCTATGCTCGAGGGTCAGGTTTCACTACCTTCCACGCTTGATGACCAGTGGACGGTAGACGGTCGAGAGGCTGCGGATGCTGCGTTTAGATGGGACGGCTCTAGAGCAGTCGATGGAGAGGAACCTAGCGCTAAAAGACCACGGTATAGCCGAGAATCTTCGATATCAACCACAAACACGTATGTGTCTGCCTCAACATACACAATGAATGGCTCGAACTTTTCCGTACCCACGACCATGTCGCTTGGGTTCTCGACAGCACGGGAGTATATCGCAACAAACACAGCCACTAGGCAGGAACAAAAGCCGGGACTCGGGTTCGAGAGCAAATCAAAAACAGCAGGAACCGGATCATCTGGACGCAGTGTGGTTGGCCTTTCGCAGAAGAGCATATCCGGGTTCTTCAGTAAGCCTTCGTCTCAGCCCAAACCGAAATCTAGCGAATCAGCACCGGCACACTGCCACAAGACCCCTGGCGATCGAAACAACGTCATTGGACAGACGGCAGACGGCAAAAATAAAAACGTGCTCCCGACGAACTTCTCAACGTATCGACCACAGGCGCAGCGCCTGCAAGCAGCCCGTCCGATTCTCGAACCGTCGGACCCCAACCGTTACACGTGGCTGGCGACGTCTTCAAAGCCCACGGAGAAACCGATCTTGCGCAGCGGTGAAGAGGGCAAAGAAATATCCAACAAGGGCGAAGCCGGGAGGGAGTGGGCAGCGAGCGAGGTTAAAAGACCTCAAGGACCGGTTGGAGGTGCCCGACCAGCGACCACGTATCACACGACTACAATGTCGATGTTGCAGGGCGCGGCACCGATGCCGACAAGGAGAACACTGGGGATTCGACGAAGTATGAATGGGTGGGAAGAACGGATGAAGAGGGCAGGCAATCAGCGGCCGTGATGATTTGAGCCTAGATGTAGATAGGTTGTTTATGGACTGGGAACCTCTTATCTGGCAATATCACCGGTAAGGTGTTTGGGCGTTTAGGTCGACATGATTGAGTGCCTCACTACAGCGTTCGGGCTACGAGTTTCACATATCGTACTTTTTTTTCAGTTTACTTTTTTTTTTTCTTGATTTTCACTATCATGGATGTATTAATGCCTAGGTTACTGCCTAAACCTTTCAGTATAGAGACTCCTCGATCCAGTGATGAACAATCCATTGGGGTTGATCCATGACTAAGCCGAACAAATCACTCATTATGTAAGATACAAGGGAGACAATACGGAGCAAGTTACAGCAAGTATTCCGATCAACAACCGTAGCATCCAACTTACGTACAGGGAGATGGGTACACTTGGCACCACTCCAGGAATGCCAGTCCAGGGTGTCGTGCCATGGGTATCTAGCAGCACCCCCTCAACACGGAAACCCAGAATGACACTCGCGATGATCATTACCAACCTCTCCCTCCTCCCCCCAAATGAGAGAAACCCCGAGCAACGCGGAGAGGAAGGCAGAGAGAGAGAGAGAGGGAGAGAAAGGCAACAATGCAACCAATTCTAGCGGTGAAAGTCATAATAATGGTCAATACGAGCCCCAATAAAGGACGATAACGGTAATAACGAACCGATCAGCTGATTAGGGATCCATTCCCCATCATTTTTTCCATCCCGAAGACCCAATTCAGGCTAGACCTAGAACTAGACTAGGTTCTTATCTTCTTCCACTTCTGGTGGTGCTTACTAGTCGACTAGCTTATAGTAGTTTACGGAGACTGTCATCCGTACACCGCATGATAGGTATGTCATGCAGTTCAATTTTTGCGCAATTATTTGGGGACTAACTGGTAAGGTAGGTTATCGTACATCTATCTATCTATCTGTAAGTACTCCAGGGTAGTACTACTAGTGAGTGAGGGGGTCTTAAAGTGTCTACACAGTACGTCTTGTTTCTGGCTGAGAGAAGAAGGTAGGCTAACCTGAATTAGGTTAGTTTAGTTGACATGGTATTAGAGTCTAGACTGTTTGGGACTAGAGTAGCAATAGCCCTCCAGTCT